CAAGAGCCCGAAGAGGTACTACTACACCTATATATAATCCCTGCAGCACCGTACAGTACGCGTGCCCAAAACTGAACTACACGTCCGTCTCACCGTCGACTACAGTAGTAACATCACCCCCTCCCTGTCCCACTCTGTACCAAAACGAATGATTGCCGACTACAGCATACTTGCTGTCTGAAGTGCTGTCTGTACAAAAACACCATGGTAGGCATGGAACAAGAAGCTGGCGGGGCACAAAGCTGCTGTCTGAAGTGCTGTCAGAATGTGTAAAAAATAACAAGGAGCTCGAGGTATCGTCCAAGATCATCGTAGAGAGGGCATGGAGAACAAGAAAGAAAGAAAGAAGAAAAGCACAAAGAGAGGCCGGAGGCACCACTAAGAGCATACAGCTTACGGCAGGGAAAAGGGAAAAAGAACAACCAACCAACCAAAGCCATGATTGCAATGGACAATCACCCGAACCTCTCCCGATCGTCTGTGTTAGGCACGCAGTGAAAATATCGACAATAGCTAAGAATCGTTCCACATTGAAGGGGTCTTCCACGATCAGGCACATAACCAAGGCACCCGGGTTAGCCACGCCATCTCTGACGGGTCTCTCTACAAAACCAGTGACGACGTCATCACATAGAACCAACACCGAAAATCAGGAAAAAAACGAGAAAAATTGACAACACAGATCAGATATAAATGTTTGTCCGTGCGCCACGGGTCGATGTCGCCCGCATGCTCCGGTGCCGCTGCTCCGTCCGTACACGCTCTCGTTGCTGTCCTTCCCAGCATCCTCGCTTTCTCCCTCGTTGCACTCAAGGTTCTTGGTCTGAAAAGTAATNAATGAGATGGGCATCGCTGCCTACGCCGACGGCCAGAGGCCCGCGCATCTACATTTTTTCGCCTGACCCCATCAGTGCCGACCCAACTACACCACCACGCGCATGCCTCGCGGCGGATATGCGCAGCAGCAAGAAGTATGATCCATGCAAATTTGTACCCTATCGAACCAGCTGCACGAGATCCATGGGTAAAGAACTACCGCATCCCAACAAGAACATCAGCAGCAATGTTCTGTGTCTACTACAGCAGTAGTCATAAGCAATAGCGAACGCGGACACACCAGGTTGGTGGGTCAAACGTACAATGACCATCACCCGGCGATCGTCACATGCTGCCCTCGAAACATCCGGCGTGGGGGCGTACCTTGCGTTTTTTTTTACGCGCAATCTCTCTTGTGTGCGGGAGCATATCGTATCCATGCGAAGAATTTCATCGTCCGAAAGTCTGCACATCACTCATCCATGTAAAGGTACTGCATTATTCTTCCACGAGCCTTACAAACAGACCTTGCGATGTGTCGCATACTAGACTACTATGCATCGAGTACCCAACGACACGGTTGGTTTTTCTGGTACATGTCGTTGCACGTGTTTTTGTGAGAGAAGCAACAAGCAACCAACTTCTTGTGCTTTTGCGCCATGGCCCCTCATGTGGAGATGTTCCTGCCATGGTGCCCTGGCTGTCTGGCCGCCATGCTAGAATATTCCACCTATCGTCTGCATCGAGTTTACCTGGCACAGGGGCACAGGCAGGTGCGAAGCGGGCAGCATACAATCAACGTTTTTTTTGTCCAATGAGATTTTTTTTTCTTTACATGATTACTATGGAAATAATATGTGTAGTCTATATCGACATATCACCAGCAACACAGCTCATCTATCGAAGTACATTGTTGTTGTTGTTGTCGTCACATTAAAAACCGTTCCGATCTCTCTCTACCCAGTACCTTCGTATGTCCGTACTGATACAACGCTCGACAGGGTCGATTCCCGTGGTCGCAGACTAACTTACCCTAAAAAGGTACACTCAAATGAAATGGCCCCGAGGGGTCCGCAAGTCATTAGAAGTCAACGCCAGATTTTCTGGAGTCCTCCACCCCCTCTGCGCGCTATGCTAGGAAACAACTGAGACTAGGGGTCACGATCACGGGCCGGAGAGAATGAGGCACANAGGGTCGATTCCCGTGGTCGCAGACTAACTTACCCTAAAAAGGTACACTCAAATGAAATGGCCCCGAGGGGTCCGCAAGTCATTAGAAGTCAACGCCAGATTTTCTGGAGTCCTCCACCCCCTCTGCGCGCTATGCTAGGAAACAACTGAGACTAGGGGTCACGATCACGGGCCGGAGAGAATGAGGCACACCCCCTTGGTTCAATCTTGGTACTTCACAACGCAAGCAGAAACAAAGCCATCTGGCACAGAAAAAGAGAGATAGAGAGAGGAAAATAAAAGGAAAAGTAAGGAAAGAGAAAATGAAATATAATGAGCGAGGATGAAAAGGGACCAGGCCGAAAATAACAAGAAATGAGAGACAGAACAAGGCACACGGTGGAGAGACCACTAACGACAAGCAAAGACGCAAACATGGCCACCAACCAGCGACAATCCGGCACGTGTCGCGCTACTCGGTCCGTCTCTTCTCGTTTACTTTCTTCCCTCACCGTCTCGTCCGTCTCCTGCCCCCCTCCTGCCCCATTGGTTGGTGGGTTGTGGTTTCGTTTCAGCGCCCGTTGTCGGCTGGCCTCATCTTCCCTCTCGTGCCAGGAGGTCATGAACCTCTCAGCTCCCTGTAGCACCACCGCATGCCAGGGTACTCTCCCCTCTACCTTCGCGGCTTCCGTCCACTTAACGTCGGTGCCGTGTCTTTCGGTACCAGGATTCCGAAACAACATGGATCGGTTTTCGTAGATCCGTGGTCGGCCGCGAATGCCTTCAGGTCGTCGAGCACACACTTCGGCCAGTTCTGTTCCTGTCCCCCCCTACGTCGCTTCTCC